TCCAGAGCCAGCGGTATTTAATCGAGCGAACCCTGAACTTTGTGCGCAATGAACCAATATTCAGCGGTTCACAATGATCCCGACCAAAAATCGACCTCATCACTTAAGAGTTCATTGCTGGATATAATTCATTTCTGCCATCGGCAGCAATTTTATATGCATCTCGCACAAGAATGTCACTATTTATTCAAGGTTCTTTCTGCATTCCAGTCAGAGTTTGTCTGAAACCACTTGACTGTACTCTCGGCTACCCTCTTCCTTCATTCCATTTGAATTTTAATACGGCTAGTAGGGGTGACGACCTAACTTACCGTTTCGACCCCCAATGGCTTGTGAGTGATGATGTGGAACAAGTCATATCTGATTACCACTAATTCTCACACAGATCTGCTTTTCACTCACAATCCGCGTTCACTTGACGGTGCTCATTGTCCTCCGTTCATCGCCGCCCACCAGATATCATTTTTTGCTCATGGTTGCTATTTCCACAGCCCTAGAAAGTGCCCTTTCAGTAATTCGCAACTGCAAAGCACTGTTCCTACCTCAATACAGTAGAAATCCAAATAAGCTTTCTGTCTGGTGTCAAGATGGACATTTTTTAAACAGGCATCTCGGTGAAACGGTGGTTGAAATGTACTCTTTGGGAATTAAGTGAGCATCATGTAACCTGGGGACAGTTGATCCCTGGCTCTGCTGATGAAACTTTGTACTACAGGTCTGTAGCTGAGGACATTGTAGGAGCCACGCAGAGTTACCATCCCATTTCAAGGAGATATCATGGGATTGCTATAACAATCAATCTTCAGATGTAAAGTAAACCTTGTATTATCTCAGAGTTGCTTTAGGTATCAGTTTACAGTGTTCGTTTTGTCCCCGTTGATGGTTGGCCAGATGAGTTGAATTTCCAGCCCATGTTTGTCATTTTCCTTGGATTTTGATGTAGTAAGCACACCTTTTTCTTTAAACCCTTCTTTCAGCTCGGTGTACTGTGAAATCCGATCATTGCTCGAACCAGATCCAGTTCAATACCGTTATTTCTGGTCAAGATTACCCCGACTGCTTTTCAGATGATGCGCTGGGTGTTGGGCCTGGGGGAAAAATAGAAGTGGAACCGGTGAACACTACGTGCACTCTCACCGACACAAGTATTGCCAGTGTTTCGGAGTTCAAAAATTCCTCCTGTTCTTTGGGCATCAACAATCATTCTTTCCATCTATTCAATTCATATTCATCCTCTCAATTAGACAACCATGGACTCGTTCAACCGAGCTCATCATTGCAAATGTACCAATTAAACGAGAGTCAATCCAACTTTACCGGTTCAGAACAGAGCGGAGGCAATCCGGAAAATCCCATGGATCGTGCGCCGTTACCCGCCTACGCCTTGCATTCGGTCCCGNTCCCTTGTATTGTCCGATTCCATACCGGTCTCCCTTTGCACTCCACCACCAGTGCAATATTGATGATTTATCTCTGCCTCTCTTTGTGCGTGGCAACCATACGTGGTAAGCATTTTGCTGTCCTATCCGCTTCCTTTCTCTCATTTGTGCACCTTCATCATTACTATTACAGAGACTTGCGATGAGTGGCATCAGCCAATGTGNNNNGAGCAACAAAAGTTCAAAAACTCAGTTAAAACAAGGTTAGCAACCAGTTACCTGAATCCGCAAGTCTTGGAGACCCTGGATGCTCCCAGTTTACGACAAGTGAAGCCATGCAATAGGAGAACCAATAAGTTCCCGTTTAATTAACCATGTATTGTTCGGCATTGGTTGATTGATTAATCGGTTATGGTCCATCAGTGGCTGTCTTAGAGCGTGGCCAATTTTTACCTTGCAAGCCATTTCTCACACAAAAAGCTGATGTGGAATAATCTAGCCCGCCACTAAATTTGTTCATCCGAGCAGTGGTGGCCCGGTTGCAACGTCACCAAATTATCACCCCGGAGGACTTGTGTTCAAATTCCATCACGACCGCCTAACTTCTCCATTCTCCGTGTTTTATGACAGCCCTTTGATTAACCACTTCCCCCTTAAAATTGTATCCGTCTACTCAATAAAAGGAAGTAAAAGAGAGCCCTGCTGCCCTAAAGGTATATCTCTTCCATGCAACATATGGGGTCTCGCCATTCAAGGACTGGTTCTAGTGGCACTACGAGCGCCTCTTTGTTCCAGAATTTTCGGCCGAAATATTCTCAAACACGCGAAGCCATACGTCACGACCGCGTACGCCCTCATTCTCAATCAAACCGACGTTAAACTACGTGAAGGCCAACTGTAGAAAACTTCAGTCGACGAAGGACAAATTAAATGTCTCAACATCTAAAGCAGAGCCGACCGCACTGTACATGCAACCTATTAACTTGGAACGCAATTTTTACAGCTTGATGATGGTTGCTCGGTGACTTCTATCATGCTGCTGTCAATCGTCAAACCAATTTCTGGATAGGAGGCGCGCTTGGCCACAGTCAGTTGCTGGCAGATGAGCTTCAAATCAGGGGTGGTCAAAATCCAGTCTTGTGTAAGGAATTTTAAAGATGCGAATTGCATACTGAGAGAAGCAACGGCATTTGTCGACTGTGCTTCGGGATTGTTTTCTAATTGTATTTGGGATTGCCTGAGTTTCATCTCATAGAATATTTAGAACCTACACTTTATAAATTACTTATTTGGTCCGTAATGGAATGTGAGCGGGAATAACGACATACGGTATCTTTTGACTAAACTCGGAACTCATCGTCGACCCTTAGTTGACCAAAGTTTTAGTAACCTCACCGGGTTAACATAACTTTTGGGCGGTTGTCTTCGAAGAAGTGAACCGAATAATTCTTCATGGTGAACTGACTCAGTTGTTCCTTTTTAATCACTGTACATTGCTATCGTTTTTGAGTGTCCTTTGAGTCTTTGCCACGACCTGGTTGCAATTTTTTTTAGCTTTTCGTATCTCTCTAGGGCTTTTATTGGTAAAGTCGCGGTGGTTTGCTCACCCGTTGCCTCATCTCTTATTTTCGGGCTCTTCAGATGAGTTGAATATGAAGTGACGGGTCGATGCTGATACTGGAACTAGGAATTAGGTGTTGAACAGGTAATCAATGTTAAACAAGAAATTCCAGAGTGCGTGCGATGCATTTGATGATTTACATGTTGAAGGCAACCATTTGTGAGGAAAAGGGTGGGGAGGTGAAGGTAGATTCAGTTTTATGCGGCTGATGGTGTTGGGTAAACAGCTAATATGGGGGTAGTCAGAGAATATGCAAGAAATGATTAAAAATCTCAAAAGCTTGATGAAGAAGAGCTATGACAGAATTGTATTAGAGTGAAATGGTACTACTTGCCAAGATCTGTGTAGCGCATGTATGCTTAGAATGAACGTGAAATGTATTATTGTGTTCAAGCCCACTTATCAAATTCAGTTTAACATTTGGGTGCTTCTTTTGCAAACGGTACTCACTTATTTTTGAAGAAGTAAATAAGACTAAAGAGGAGGTTCTTTCAACAGACCGGCTCAACTGTAAATCGAGGTAAACTGAGCACCTTGGACATTTGACATCGTTTGAAGGATGAATGATCCGATGAACTGAACACCAGCCCCGAACGGACTGCAGTTTTCAGACACTACCCAGCTGCCTTGTGAGTCAGGCCTTGTTTAGCTGATTGCGTATACCTTTGAGATAATTCACCTACCTTGGACTTAGCAACCTAGCAGTATCACGCACTTGAGCGAATAATGAATTTTTTCTTTTCTGAAGGTTATTCTTCCGTGATTTGTTTGGCACACAGTCTGGACTTGGACGTGTGTTAATATATATCTATAAATATTTAGATATACACATGCATTTAGTATATAGTATATACCGATCTATATAACAGTTTTTCATATAAAATGGACAACAGAGGAGGAGGATCGTATGAAGTAAATAACTCCAAACCCCAAAATACCCGTTATTTTCAGCGAGTCTTTTGGCATCAACACAGATGTCTACTCGAAGGCGACTACACTGCGGATATACGCCATAATTGCGCATTCTTGGTCTACTTACAATTCATTTACTCATTGTCTACGAGCGTACTACTTTTTGTACCGTAACTTGATGTCCACTAGGGCTCGCTCAAACTGTTTGATGACGATGATGATGTTAATAGTGTACCGTATGACTCTTTTTCTTTCCGTTTGTTTCAGGTACTGCGCACGTCATCCACTAATCCCAGGGATTTATGCTATGCTGTTTTGTCGTCCAATCATTAACTCATGCCTTTAATTTTATGAATTCATAAGTTATGCCTTTTGCATATGTGCGTTTTAGCGAATTTTTGCTCGCCAATCGATTTGTCTTCTGAATCACATCATTCTATTTATTCTTTTCTTTCTATCAGTAGTTTTTTTAATTTACGTATATCTGTCTCAGGTGTTTTTGTATGTATGTTGATCACGTACTTCTCTGTCTTCCCCCTCCCCCCTTTCCCCCTCTCCCAACCCTCTCCCTGTTTGTACTACGTGTATTAGCTATTTTTGATCAACATTCATATTTTCTACCGTTTGTTTGCTGACTAGCCCCAATCCCCATTTCATCACACAACTAATTTTGCTCTACATTCGCGTGTTCATATGCACACAGAGGCAGACAGACAATCTCCCGTTTTTCGTCCGTTGTTTGTGCCCGATCCTGATGGTATTCTTTGTGTGCTCCGTGACCGACGTATTTTGCCTCGGTTCCGTTCAGCAAGGAATCCAAACTCACTCAGTCCGATCCCGTTTCGTTTCGCCCTCTGTGGTCGTCGTAAATTCGTATGTTTTCACTTTTCTGTCTTTTTTCAACCGCCTCATTCTTGATAGTACTCCTTCTTCATAGGTCTCTGTCTCCCATTCCCTCAATGCGTTTCCTTGACCTGTTACTTTTGTCGACCTCTAGTCGTTTCTGTGCTGTCCCTCACCCACCCCATATCTATGCACCCGTCCCTTCTGTGTCCAAGCTCAAATTTTAACTGATTTTATTGTTCTCACGCTCAGAATGGCATCCTGACCCCTCCTCTCTGTGTCCAATTGCTGATTCACGAGCAGTATATTTCAGTAATTTGACGAATAAGTCTTTCACCTTCCAACTTCTGCAATCCTCGCTGACAATTTGTGCACACTCTGATACGCCCTTATCTTTTGCGCCATCCATCTACCTAAAACATGTTTGCCTGGTTTATTCTTTTCCCCCAGATTTTCTTAGATTGATTCTTACAGGTCATGTTTATTTGGTTACTTTTGAAGCAAGTAGCCCATATACTCACACATTCACTGAAAATCGATAATCATAATTCACTTCGGTGGGCTTACAATAACTTAAATCAAGCTCTTCCTTCGGTACTGCCGGCTATCCTTCCTTTACCATTCACTGTACAGAGTCTTATTTGTCTGTGTTTTCTGTCTTGTCTTCATCTAGAAAAAAATCAGTTTCAGGACCTATGTTCGTTGTTTGCTTTGCTTTTTGGCTGTGTCCCCAGATCATACAGTCCGTGCCTAGATTTATTTGGCACGCATGTTTCTCTACTTACTTACCCCTGAGTTTTGTTTTGTGGCAGTTGCTCTCTGGGCGTGTTCATTGGCACCGTAGCGCGCAATGTTCCAAATACATACACCTTTGTGTATTTTCTTTGAGCACCCTGTTTGTGCGAGGGGAGGGGGGGGCAACAGTGCTCACAGTGCTCATTGACGATGATCGTACCGGACGCTCCCCTCCTCACTACCTCAGTCAGAAACTCCCTAACACAACTGGGTATGCGTGGTTTTCTATGATCTCCGTAGGCAGCGTATTCTTGTCTGACAAAAGAGAACCTATGACCATGATTTACCACGTGATATGTTTGTCCTTCAGTTCGTAAACTGTATGTTCAGTGCGCATACGCACCCCCCACTCACTACCTTCATTTTCCCGGATTCGGATTCCCGGTACACGAGGGTTTGTGTAGGTAAAAAATAGTGGCCAATGTTTAATTTGTTTCCCATCCATGTATAAAGCCACGAAAAAACACTCGGTGCTCGAAAAACACGTCTTTGTAAAACACTTGAAAGTTAATCAATGCACGTATCTACCTACTGTCATTTCTTTTTACGCGGTTACCCATCCAGTCCAACGCCACTCCGATGATCCGAAGTGGAACGCACCTTTTCTCTTTCAATTATTATACTGGCACATTTGGTGTAATTGATTGAGCATTCCTCCAGTTTCGTCCGAGAATGTGGGCCTGAGTTGGTATCTCTCCTGGGTTCCTGAATTTGGATCCGAAGTTCCAGCACTGTCGTTGTTCTGGTAGATAGTCTCACTGTCGTTCAACTCTGTCACTCCTATCCTAGGGCGACGTTTTTATGGTTTCCCACTCCAATCCCCATTATTAAGATCCCGCTCATCAAGCTGAGCTTTTAGTTGGTCCACAGGCCTATAGGGTTCTAACTCTTCTAGCATTCGTCGCACAATGGAGTGTAATAAAAAAGCAGTATGGCTCACACATCGTCGTTGTGTGAAGTACCATAACGGCTATCTTGTTGAACCCTAGCGCGGCTTGTTTCCATGCCATGCCCGGTCGATTTTTCCTCGCAATACTTTCATTCAACAACAGTTTTCTGATGATAGAAGCAAACAGTGGTCTACTTGTCAGCAGCTTGTTTTTTGGTGTGTTGATTAATCATGAAACAGCCAACAAAATGCAATGGTCTTCACTGTGTTAATGGTGAGGTGAGTTGTTGGCCTTTCGGTTTTGTTGCAATGTCTATTTGCATTTACCACCCGGAAGTGGCTTTTGTGGCAGTCATCTGATATAAGATCTCAAAGGATTACGTCGCGGTTGCCCAATTAACTGATCAAAAATGTGGCGTCATGCAATCCACCTAAATATAGTCATGTATTCACCTGAGTCGACCTAAAAGTGCACCACTTCAGTTGTACACTTGGCATGTGTGTGTATATGCATGATATGTTCTTATCCTTTCAATAGTACTTAGGATATTTTTCAAATTTAATTCCTGGTAACATTTTTGGATATTGCAGAATTTATATGTTTTGGTCACGCTACGGCATCCCTGGGAACTGAGATGTCTTAGCAGTTAGGGTGACAGGTCAGTGAACTGGGATTCTTCAATGAACAAAAGCGACACGAATAACTTGCTGAAATGTATACAAGATGTTGGATCCCGGCGGCCGGAGCACCCTGATACGGGCGTTACACGGCATAAATATTGCTTGCCTCTCCGAAGTTTGGCTACTCAACTCCTGTATCCGACGCGTATCAGCCCTAGGGTTGAACACAACGAAGCCGTAGATGAATTCGATCGAAGTCTGCAAGAGTCAGTCAACCAGTTTCCGAGATGTGACTTTATTTTTGTCGCAGGTGCTTGGAACACTCGCAACAGTGCATCATGCGAAGCTACTCTCAAATATTGTGGCTTTCTTAGCGCTGCGAAAATGGGAACAACCTGGTATTTTTTAAGATATCAACATAAAGTCTAACTAAAGCACATGTGTTCAACATTTTAGGAGGCTCCAAAACCCTCAACATAGTCGGCGGTGACTGTCTTTGCTTGTTACCCGTCACCCTTCTCTTGCATCTCATGCGTTGCTCCCATACCATCTGCTTCGGAAGCCCAAATCAGTGGCGGTCGTATTTTCCCACCAAAGTGAGAGGATAAAAAGCCAACATCCGGACTATAACCGGTTCGGTGAACCACTGGCGGTTCACATAGGGGAGTTTGCTAAAAACCCTGATTCCAAATCAAGTAGAAGTGTGCGAATAACCCACACCTTTTTGGTCGTGGTCACTGGCTCAATTGGGCATGTAGGTGTATTGGACACGGACGTTTGACTCCATCCAAAGGACGTATGAATCGATGAACTGGACACCATCTCCCATTGGACTGCGGATTCTGGGCTCCGTCCTGCTATCTTGTAGGCCTGGTTGTCTAACTAAGGGTTCGGGTGAAGACTCCCGAGGTTATTCCTCTTCTTCGGTCAGGTCAACCGGGAAGTAACATCCCCACACCACCTGTGAGCATATTCTACAGATTTTCAAATTTTACTGTCAAACCATGCGCTCTTTGATCGAGGTGTTGGTGGTCGTCTCCACAGATTTCCACGTCACCGCATCAACAGACCACATTCTTTCCCTTCCATATTTTTTGAACTTTCCTATCCCCGTGTCACCACCAAAATGTCTAGTCACTAAGAATTTCAACTCCGAAACAACGGAAAATAGACAGGCGTGAGGATAGCACTGACTGCACGTGCAGGATCCGCGTTACTCGACTGAATTCCTGTCCATGGTCGACTGCACCATCCGTCTNCAAAGCATCTCGTAATGGACCAAAAAAGTGTTTGTTCGTCATTGCGACTTATGCACCCACGGACTGCAGTCTCCACAAAATAGAGACTAGTTTTACCATCAACTCCCCAACCTCCTCCATAGTAGAGGACACACTGACATTCTGATACTAGTCGACTACTTAAACGCTCAAGTAAGTAGGTTAGATGCTGCCGAAACCTCACTTGTTGACCGGCATAGCCTCGGTGTTGGTAGAACTGACCACGACGACTGGCTCCAACAAATCTGCGCTGAACACTGTTTTTTCCCTCTGGAGTACCAGCTTTTGCCGACCGTCGAGCCAATATGCTACCTGGTGACCTCCATCGTCTGATCAGCTCTGGACTCGAANATTAGCTTTCTGTGGAGGAATTGCATAAAGCACTGCAAGTTCATCTGGAGCACATGTCACAACTTTGATCATGCGTGAAATGCTCTACGCTTTGGTGGAAAACAGTGACGTCACCCGAGAAGACTTGATTTGATGAGACTGATCGATGCAAACAAAGTTACCGCCTACCAAAACATGTTAGCTGCTGATCTATGCAGTTTGTCATCCTCGAACATTGATAGCCAGTGGGTTCACATCCGTAACGTCATGCATGAGTCCGCCACCACAACCTGTGGCTTCACCAAACGCACCGTCAATCACTGGGTTTCGACACGTTCTCTCGAACTGCTTGACACTGGTCGAAGCTTCCCTCCAGATAATGAATACAACACAATTAGCAGGACTCTCAGTGCTGAACAGAAGCGGTTATTAGAGGACCGAGAGACCTGGTGGGCACAGTTCGTCTCCGAGATGGAACTAGTCTTTACTTCCGGCACTGGGCGGAGCACTTCCACCACGAAATCAGTTGACCATCGGAATCATCACAACCATCTACTGATTTGCGCAGTGCTCCATTAACTGTGGACATTTCATCCCCCAGCGAGAAAGAAGTCTCTCGAGAGCTCAGAATTCTGAAACGCCACAAATCGCCTGGCTCACATGAGATCCTTCTGGCCCTTTTCAAAGTTTTGTCTGAGAACTAACTACCTTACTCCATACCATCTGGAATACGGAATCTATTCCATCCTAATGGAGTTTGGCAGACGTCGTACCTGTTTTCAGGTAGGGGCCAGCGATGATTGCTCCAATCACTGTTGCATCCAAGGTATTAATATCGTTGGTCCTTCGTCTTATCCGCGAAGAACAGGTTGGAATACGCTCCCGTCGGGGCTGCGTTGATCACATATTTACTCTACGTTAGTCGCGAGCAACGTCAAACGTTCCGTAGACCGACCATCATTGTCTTTTTGGACATACGTGCTTCATTCGACTCAGTTGACGAGGCAGCTCTCTTGTTATGTCTGTTATCAAGAGGTGTGCTTGAGAAGTACGTAGACCTTGAAGCCGTCTGCTCAAAGATACCAGGCCGCATCAGGCTACCCTCCATGCAGAAGACTTATGGAGATTAAGTGCCTCTGGCTACCGTTGTCTTCGTTGCATCACGGACTACGTTGGCAACGGCAAATCACCAACGCCGGGGTTCGACTAAGAATCTTCGTCACGGGAAATCTCAGTCGTGCTCAGTGCCGTTAGAAATTTTGGTGGCTGGGACATGTGTTGTGGATGATGGCCTAGCGACTGCCGCATCGTGTTAATTTTGCGTAAACCGACACTAACTAAAAGCGGCCACAAGGTAGGCAATAATTAACCTGGGCTCGAACGATTAAAGCATAAACTCGAAACTAGCAGTAGTAGGACGCTTTAGATTCCCAGGTTCCGGTCCCAAGGACAGCGAACGTTCATGGCTAGAGACACTGATAGATGTGAGTGGTAACCGGCGTCAATGGCTCATTTGCTGCGAGTGTCTTATTCGTTTATTTTTATTTAATCCTCCGTCACATCTCTTTCTTCATGTTGTGGCATATGTAATTGGTTACATGTCAGCTGTGTAAATAATCACTACCTTCTCGTGTTGGAGGTACTTTCCCGTCAAATGGAGAACGAAGAGCCGAAATCTGGTGCTATAAGTGGATTGCTGAACCACTTAGGAGATTTTGATACAATCCTGATTCCATACCAACCAAGAGGAGTAAAAACCACACACTCAAGCATTTTTAAACTACAAAGAATCATCTGCAATTGATTTTTTCTTCATCCAGTTAATTGTGGGGTCTGATCAAACTTATCGTTTACAGCCACATACCAAGGATAAGGCGGCATTCTAGCTGGCGTAACCCTTGATCGCATATGGGAACCGGTCATAAAAGTGTACCCAACTATGAATCAAACAAATTGATGCTCAAGGATTGTCCGATAGCTGTCTAGTTGATGCATGCAAGATATCCGACTTCCCTACTGTCGTAAAATACTACTCACGATGCGTACGGGAAGAGGTGGTTGGCGGATTCTCACAGTACCTGAAGACGAAGGAAGGATTTACTGTTGTGATTACAAAGCGGGCGACGTTCCTGTAGAACTGTGCGATCACTAATCAAGAGCCCTTCATGAATCTTCTAACTGTCTGCCTCAGATGACATGTTTTCTCTGTAAACCTGTTTACCTTTTATCCATGTTCTTCCAATACCTACTCTCCGAATCGCGGCACTGTTTTTGTGAATCTATAACACTATGATGTAGTAAGTATGATTCGTTACTGATTAGCCTAACGTTTCTTATCCTATTTTGTCCACTATATAGGGCTCTCCAGGGAAATTGAATGATCGAAACTACCGGTTACTGGCTTGTTTAGAAAATCACTGTTGTTCGCAACTGGTTGTGCTATCGTATTCCCGATAAAGTTGAATTTTGCTGTAAACGAAGATGTTTCTTTCTTTGTAAAGACCGCATCGGATTGAATATCATCTCAACCGAGTCAATCTGCTCGGAATAATCTTTGGGGACTGGGAGAGGAGACGGTGGCAATCAAGTTTGATCTAATTCTAACTCCTCTTCTGAGGCGCTCATGGTGGAGCTCCATGAAACGCATCCACACAGTATGAGTGTACACTTACCACGGTGAAAATGTCTCACATCTGTGCATGTGTACTACATGGAGCACGCCATTTTCAAGCATATCTGGTGATTTGTGTGGACTGATGAGCCTATGCACAACACATGCATTAACTATGTAAACATTTACATTATTATCTGCGCTTGCGTCGTGCTGATCATTTAGGCACGCTTATAAAACCGTACACTGCGTCGAGGGTCCAAGCGAGTTCTATCGCAGGTACTGCTGTTGGTTCTTCCCAGTTTAAATGCATCCCTAACTTGACGCGTAATGCATTAATTCGTGTTTGCGACTCCACCCCGCGTAACTTAATTCAAACTTACAGTAACCCTGTGGGCCTGGATGCTGTGTGTGAAAGTTCATCTGACTACTTGAAGGACTGGTTATTTAGTCAGAATGAGGAACCGTGTTGTCGAAAGTGTACCAATGATGGTGTGGTAATCGGCATTGTAAATTTATGTGCTACAACAACGGAAGCCTAACGCAACATACTTCGTTCAATCCCTCGTGGTGGGCTCTTTTCTTCAGTCTCGTGAGCGAGGTACCTGCCAGCTTTATTTTCTCTCTCCATGAAATAATGCTGACAGCCTAACCCACCTCCATGAAGAAGTGCAACGTGCCTCAGTCATTTCACTACTTGAAGTTCAACTATGTTCATGTCTATCCGTTAGCGGTTTTCAACGCCCTGATTCGTTATTATGCTGTTCCTGTTGGACGCATGCAATTTCAGTAGAGTTTTACACTCGGAAATGAATGGTCTTATTTCGAAAAGATAAAGTAACCTCAATTCCTTCTCATGCCATCTGAGGTTGATATCACAACAGAATTTGGTTGGTCAAAATTTAATCAAAGCCTCTGAAATAACAATGAAACATCTTATAGGTCTGTGCTTTAATAAAAACCGATGGATTATGAAAATTCCCAATTTTTTGGCTCATAAAGCATGATCAGATTGACCTGAATAGATCCAAACACGGTTGGCTCGTACTTTATCGCCGTTATGTGCATGGATGAATACCCTAGTCCGTCATACAAACGTTTTCATGACACATAACACTTACCATCATATTGGTTGTCTTTTGAGATATCATCTAAGTACGGTGCGTCATCAGTGTGACTTCCTTTCTACTGCACTAATGTGAACAGTTTATTGTTCGTCTTTGTTGGTTACTGGATTTATTTTCGTGTAAAGTATCTTATGATGGATGTTCAACTTAGACACGCGATTCTTTTTCTCCGGTATTGTCGTGGGACTGAAGAAAGCTCTTATCGGGTGTTATTCGTACCTCCGTGTGATTTTAGGGTGCTATAGGTTGAATTTAGTTTCACACCTCACATTTTTCAGGGAAGAGTGGACGACTAAAGACAGCTCTCTGTCCTTGGTGTCGGTTGTGTGACTATACAGGTGCATCAAAATAGTCGGATCCTCAAACCGTTTATATCGAATTCTTTCTTAGTCTCATTGCTGCAGAGAACAAATATTTAAAAACTACCGATATTTCGCGTAGATTTCTGTGTGGGTTAAATCAGGCTCTGTCAGGGTGTTGATTGACTTTCAGTCAGGTCAAGTAGGTTGTCCCCAGAACATCTCACTGCTAAATATGTTGCAGTCAACTGCGGTCGCAGATTGGGCAGAATTTGTAAGCATATGTGCACCGCAGGTATCTGCGGTAATGATCTATATTTTTTAACTACTGGTTTATGTAGCTTTGAAACGGAATATTTAGTGTTTGAAATTTACTGAGGCACCAGTATACACTGCGCGAAAATTAACGAAACAAGATGAAAATTTTTCGGGAATTTGTAATTTTTATGCTCTCTACTTAAGTTGAATATAAGTAGTACACTTTTTAATGCAAAATGACAATCATAGAAGTGGCTGACAAAGAAGATTGTTATTTGTTGGCACCAACTGTGTCATTCATTTTCGCTTCTGCACCAGAAATTTGGGAAGATATTATTTCTGGAAGATTATTTCATTCTATCTTCTCAACTGTTTACTTTAACATTTAATATTAACTACAATTAAGTTTGGAATTCAGTTTATCACTGGTCTCATATGTGGCTCTAAGAATCTGCTGTATCTTAATTTCTATTTACAAAACCATTCCAAATACATTGAATAATTTGCTTTGCCAACTCATTTTGATTCGCCAGCCAAGGAATCTCTTTGGAACTCATCAAAGTTGATGGAGAACAAAGTAAGATTCCGAATCGAACTTATACTATTCAATCACAGGTATGCATGGATATTATGAAGTGGGATCACAACGCTTCCATTTTAATTCTGATGTTGGATGGGATTGATGCCGTCTCACGATCTGATAGAGTAAATGCTGCTTCGTTTATTGTGAA